AAGCAGTGGTCAATACAGGAATGAACAGGTATGTTTGGGCAAATCCAGAGTCGAAGTCAATAAACAGGCAATAGGTCGTAAGGCAGGCGGCTAAACAGGATGACAAGGATAAACAGGGCTAAGAACCAAAACTCGGGAAAACAAGACCAGGATAACGCGTTGTAATGTCACCAAACAGTAAACAAGACTCGGCAATGTGAATGAGTGTGTGTGCTGCTTAAATACTGTGTGTAATCAGTCTCTGTAACAGGTTTCAGCTGGTGATGTAATCAGGAAGATGAGTGACCAGGCGTGCGTGATTGGGAGAAGTGCATGTATGAAAATGTAGTCCTGGGGAATGCGGAAGTGAAGTGAATGATGATAGAGGAAACCAGCGATCTCCAGTGAATGATCGCTGGTTATCGTAACAGCTGTATCGGCAGAATCACGGAGAAAAAAACATGCAACAAACCCTGTGGATCATGGAAAGGAACACATACGACCCTTAATGAACGGCTAAACACTGCTTGACATGCACGGAAGCGGTCTCACCCAGTCATTGGGTCTCACAACTTGGCAGGTCTGCCTTGCCTTCGGAAAGCATGTGCTCTCATGAAAAATAAAGCAGCAACATCTTCTTATAGAATAAGAAAACTATGAATAAAAATGAAAAACCGACACGTCATCTCTGGACAGGCAGATCGGCGCTTCATCACAGATTTTGATCCCACCCCCAAAATGATTTTAAACCTTATACAATTTTCCCCGCAACTAAAGCTGACAGGTGCTAATGTTGTCTTAACTGATGCTCAACACACACAAATCTGTTAAAGTCTCAAAAAAGGGTTTCTTGAACCTTTAAGATTAGACTTAAGACTTTTTTTGTTCTCAAAGGCATCTCACCTCAGGAGGTGTGATTATTATTTTAGTCTGCAAGTGGTTGTCTGTCTGTTTGTGTTGATTTGTTAGAATGATCACTGGCCAACAACAGTTGTAAGGAACCTGTACATATATGTGAACCTGCACCACAAAAACAGTCTAATATATAGGAATAGCCCAAACATGTTTTTCTTTTATGCCAGAACTTAGAATATTAAGTAAAGATGATGTTTCATGAAGACATTTTGTTAAATATAAAAACATATCAATGTATTTTTATTAGTAAGATTCTTGGCTAAGAACTTGATTCATGAGTGACTTTAATATATATTAATTTAAAAACTCTCAGATTCCAATTTTTCAAATAGTTGTATCTCATTAAAATTTTGTCCTATTTATACCAGAACAAACAACAATGGAATGTTCATTTACCCAGTTTTTACATAATATAATTCTGAAATTCAATAATTTTATGATTATGACCCCTAAAAATACCTCATACATATATTTTATATATTTTTTTAGAGAAAAAATTGCCGCTTTCAATTATTATAACTGGAAAACCAAAGTCTGACCACAATGCATTGTTGCAAATAGCATCTTGTGCAGAGTGCAGCAGACCTTCCACATGTTCTGATTACACAGAAAATATGTATACTGTATGCTATATACATGCTAATAAAGAAAGCCACAGCCCACAATAATACCTGTTTATTTTCTGAGCGAGATTTCTGTTAGCAGCACAGAAATGACACACTGCATCCTTACTTAAATGTGTTTTCCAATCAAAGACTCAATTCCATGTCTGAGATACACAGAGTTTAGACCAGTCAGCAGTCAGACATGAGCATTAGAGACTTTCCAAGAAATCTGAGCTAAAAATGGCATGATGTTTAAGATGTATTCCTGCTCAGCTTGATGATGTCATACTGCTGATCTACTATATCTCTTTCATAATGAGATCGTATCACCAATCGCCCAGTTAAAATGAGAGAAAGAGCGATTTGTGTGCATTAATCTGATACACACTTTCTGAGAACTCATCTCTAAGCACATTTTCCATTTATTTCTTATCTGCACCTCCAAGAAAAGGGATATATCAGTGTGTTTGCAAAAATAGCACAGCCAAAAAGTAACAATGTCCCTTTCTCTGTTTTTGTTTCTCTTTCTCTCTCTTCTGTCATGTTGTTTTGGCGTTTCTTCTTTGTGAGGCACATGTTCTGCCTAGAAGAAGAATGAAGACGAGCACTGGAAGAGATCTGCATTCACATAGCAAACCCTCCAGGGAGGAGATCTGATTAAAGGCAGGGCATCTCTATGTAGCACACTCAAGAGCCTCGCTCTGACTCTCCTTTACGGTCTACAACACTGATAATCCTTTTATCCAAGAAGCTGTTAGTGGGTAAACTGGGGCTAAAACCAAACATTTGACAAGCAGACTCAAAAACACAATCAAATGCACTGATAAAACCTGATGGATTTGCCTAGCTCCAAATAATCATTGATAGCTTGAGAATCAGTTTTTGAAACAGTCAATACTACACTTTTTAAAAGAGCTGCAGAGAATGCTAACAAAATGTACAGATAATTACAACAAAACTGCACCGCTAACAGCTCCAGCTAAAGTTACTTCTATTGCTCCTAATTAATAGTTTACATCTATAGGGAAATGTGCAGGCAAAACAAGTAAACAAGCTTCACTGTCACTACTAGCTAAATATGCTAACAGTTGTAGCTACTTTTTATAAATTACTATAAATCTAGATCCAACAGTCTCAAATATTTATAATCAAATATTTATAATAACTCTGACTATTAGTTAAATATGCTAAAAGTCACTTCTATAGCTAAGCGTCACATGTACATCTAAAGATAGGCTACTTACTGTAGCTTACTACTCACTGACGTTGGCTTCAATTGTCACTACTCAGAAATTGTAGTAAACTTTACAAACAATTAGGCTACTACAAAATGGCAGGTAACACAGTGAATTAAACTTGACTGAAAAACTGAAATAGCATTTTCTTGGGGATGTAATCCAGTATTTTTTACAGTGGGCTGCTAACTATGCTAATAGTTGAAGCTACAGCTAAATCTAGATACTACAACATCCATAAATTCATTCTTTCTTTTCTTTTTGGCTTAATCCCTTTATTAATCAGGGGTCACCACAGCGTAATGAACTGCCAACTTATCCAGCATATGTTTTACGCAGCGGATGCCCTTCCAGCTGCAACCCATCTCCAGGAAACATCCATACACACTCATACACTACGGACAATTTAGCCCACCCAATTCACCTGTGCCGCATGTCTTTGGACTGTGGGAGAAACCGGAGCACCCGGAGAAAACCCACGCGAACGCAGGGAGAACATGCAAACTATATAACTACACATTTATATAACTACACATATAGAAAAGACACATATACTTATTGGTAACAGTTCAACAACAGTCACTGTGAGCTAAATTTGGCTACATTTGCTTCAATAGCTACTTATCAACAGTCACGAGTAAATCTACAGGTAGTATTGTAACAGTTTTAGTATTGTAACAGCTTTATTGTAACAACTAGCTAAAGATCCTAGCATTAGTTACTACTTATCAGTAAGCCCACACTCAATCCGCGAGCACAGAATTCTGCAGATTTTCAGCCCATCATTGATTCTATTTATTTACGTGGTAAATGTGTGCAAATTCAAAGTTATTCAGTAATATTATTGACTAATATGAAAATGTTTATATGATTTATTTACAATACAGTTTGTAAAGTAATATGTTCTGTCTTTTAGTAGATATATTATATGAGAGACTTGCTTTGTTTACCAAATAAAGTGGATCTAATTGGATTTGCATTGTAAACATTAAATAAAAGTTAAAAGGTACTACTTTTATGTCATAAATTAAGGTTTTAGTTATGATACTCCCAAAATAATTTCACAAAAATCCGCAGATTTTTAACAAAAGTCTGTGCAGAAATAGCAAAATAAATGTCTGCAGATTCTGTCTGGTCCTACTTATCAATCAGAATAAATATACTGTATAATGGCCCCAGATATTAATAATAACTGTGACTAGTAGCTAAATATGCTTCTACAGCTACAGGTCAATAATACATCTACATATAGGCTTTGTATTGTGACAGCTACTGCTATTAGTTTCATTTGTCACTACTAACATGTTACCAGTTGCTACTAGACTACTTAGTTACTATAAATTTAGATATCCTTATTGTAATGGCTACAGATAGCTCTCCTGTCAATATAACTAAATATGCTAAGATTCACTCCTATACATTTGCTGCTTATGAATGGTCACAAGTAAATCTATAGTGCATCAGAAATAGTACACTCATTGAATAAGTACTATTTTAATGTAAACTTACTTAAAGGACTTTAATTACTTAATAAACTTACTTACTAATGGGTAGTGTGAATGAAAATTGGATGTACTACAGCTGCAATGGTGTCATAATCACATGACCTAGGCTTCATTTAAATAAATCCTTTAGTAAAATATCCACTAAACACACGTTTTACAGTATCTGCAGCAGTAGTAGGTCATACATGTACTTATTACAAACAGTTTTTGTCATTATAGTTATAAGTATTATTAGTACTATTATAAATTTGGACGTACTACTCAGCTCACATTATGTTTTTTTACCATTCTACTATGTAGTAGGGAAGTGTGTTATTTCAGATGCTGCACTAGAGACACTGTAACAGATACAGATTACAGACATTTATCAAAACTGTCACTACATGCTAAATATGATACATCTGCTACTACAATGATATATCAACACTTACAAATAAATGTGTATATCATTTTTATTATCAGTTTAAAAGCTAAATCCATTGTATTAAACGACCTTAGAGATCAAAACACCTACAGCCAATCTTTCTCATTCATTTTCAAGAGCACGGCATCCACAAATTCAGCATTATTAATGCAGCTCAGACATAAACAACTCCAGCACTTCTAAAATTACTTCTCTAAGACAGGATGCTGACTGCTGTAAAACAGATCTATTATAAAACGCAATCAGCACACAAACGAGCCATACAGTGCTGTGCATCTAAACAAAGTGCAGAGATGTCATCTTTTGGACTATACAGGACTAGATTGCTTAAACTCACCCTGTTAAAGCGCTTGGCCTGGAAGAGGTGTCCGTTCACCCGGTACAGCTTCCTCCATCGTCTAGCTCCACGGCGGTAGATCGATTCTAGAAGACAGAGAAAACGATTGTATAGGAGCAGCATTGAGACTTGAAGAACGGAAAAAAAATCAATCCGAACACTAAAGAAGATTCAAAGAAAGGGGACAGAAGAAGGAAGATGGTCAGAAGTGTGGTTGGTCACGAGCCCTATAGTAAACAGAGACAGATTTTAACTGCGACTGGATGAAAACATGTCCCTCGCAGAAGCCAGAGTAAGATATCCCTCCCTCTCTCTCTCTCTCTTTCTCCCTCTCTCTTTCGTTTCTTCCCTGTCTCCATCTGACCAACCTCCTCCTCGCACTCTCTCATTTCTCTTCTCCTGTCGCTCTGTGATTCCCTGAAGCATCACTTTGGTCACATGTCGACTGTTTCATGTTTTAAGAAAGTAAAAAAAAGATGTCAAGCATCTAGACTGACCCAAATTGAGTCGACCTGAATGAGACTTTGATCTGCTGCCTCTCTGGGGTTTTGTCTTTATGTAAAAACCACCTTGACAACATTAATGATGGCCTTTTTAAAGGTTTTGACAAAAAATACTACCTTCGTCTGAACTGACATACATACTTTAAAAATAGGCATGCACCAATATGGAATTTTTAAAACCTTTTAATAGGGATGTCCCGATCAGATTATTTTGTTTGCCCTCGAGTCAGAGTCAGAGTCATATTATTTTGAGTATCTGCCGATACCGAAACCCGATCCGATACTTCTATAATACATTAAATAATAAAAATAAATAAAGAAGAGCGAAGAAACAGATCCAGGATGTTCCCTTCAACAATGTTAACAAACAGAGCACTTCAGTGAGGTAGCTTGAACAATCAAGTAATAAATAACATAATTTATTTTACATTTGGACTTTAGTAAACTAATAAAAACAAATAGCATCTCAATTCAATTCAATTCAATTCAATTCAGCTTTATTTGTATAGCGCTTTTACAATGTAGATTGTGTCAAAGCAGCTTCACATAAATGGTCATAGTAACTGGAACAGTGTGGTTCAGTAACTGGAACAGTGTGGTTCAGTAACTGGAACAGTGTGGTTTAGGTTTTAGTGTTTAAGTTCAGTTCAGTTCAGTTTAGCTCAGTTCAGTGTGATTTAATCATTACTGAGAGTTCAAACACTGAAGAGCCAATTCATCGATGCGTAGCTCTACCAATCCTGAACCATGCGAGGCAGTGGCGACAGCGGAGAGGGAAAAAAAACTTCACCTGATGGGACTGAAGAAAAAAAACCTTGAGAGAACCAGACTCAGTTGGGCACGACCATTTAAATTTCTCCGCTGGCCAAAAGTCTTGTGCAGAACTTCATTCGCCGTGGTTTAGGCTGGAAGATGGCCTCAGTGAAGACTCGTCTGGGATACCCAACTTAAGATACCCAACAGGCAATCCCAAGTTTACATATCTCAAAGTTTGCTATGGCAATGTTGTGGTCATCAACTTTATAATACCTCCAGACAGCAGATATACTCGCGATTTCCGCTTCACGCTGCTTTTTTGTTTTACTTTGCCGGCATTTAACCAATAGCGCCTCTGCAAAAAAGTGATGTCATGCCGCACATGTTGCTGTTTCTTCTGTGTAAAGTCAAGAAAGAGGTCTAACTCTGTGCCACTTTATAACAATTGATGTGTTATAAAATAATGAGAATATATACAGTTGAAGTCAGAATTATCCGCCCCCCTGAATTGTTAGCCCCCCTGTTTATTTTCCCCCCGTTTTGTTTAACAGAGAGAAGATTTTTTTTCAACACATTTCTAAACATAATAGTTTAAATAACCTATCTTTAATAACTTGTTTATTTTATCTTTGCCATGAAGACAGTAAATAATATTTGACTAGATATTTTTCAAGACACTTCTATACAGCTTAAAGTAACATTTAAAGGTTTAAATAGGTTAACTAGACAGGTTAGGGTAACTATTCACACATAAACACATACACACTCTTAGAAATAAAGGTACAAGAGCTGTCATTGGGGTGGTATTTTTTTAAAAGCTACACATTTGCACCTAAAGAATACTTATTAAAACCTCAAGAGTACATATTAGTACCTATAAAGTACAAAATTGTACCTCTTAAAATGGTCATGTACAAATATATGCTTTTGAAAAGGTACCACCCCAGTAACAACTCTTGTACCTTTATTTCCGACTTGTATTCCGATATATTATGATCGAGTTTGACACTGGGCTACTGGGCCCGATTTCCAATTACATGATCGGATCTGGACATCCCTACTTTTTATAAAATTCTTTAGATTTGGAGGTATAGTTGATAAATATAAATATAAATCTTTTAACAATTTCAAAATGATTGTTTTGAAAAAAACAGAAGGTAGAAATGTTTGATCTCTGATTTTTTTCTGATCTTTGATTCTCGGATATTTCTTTTTTCTCAAAATCCAGTGCCTGACAAAAAAAAAAATCCATAAATAAAATAAACAAGTCACTGAACATGAACTAAATCCAAATACCAAGACAATAATAATAGGTGGCGCGCAGCAAGCACATGAAGACGTTTAACCAGCGGAAATAATTGATCAGCCTAAGATGTCGGCCTAATTTTTTTATTGGACGATAACGTTAACATAAAAAAAATAGTATTCATAGGCTGATATTGCCACCACAGTATTTCGAGTAATTAAATCTATAATAAATTTTATTTATCTGTCCCCTCTAGCTTGTGATTCATGGGTGTTTTCTGCTTATTTTTGCTTTCAAATTGCATTAAGGGGTCCAATCTCATAACTTCTGATGCTGATAATGTACTAAGTTACTGTTATTGACATTTCTAGTAGTGAAACACTATAGTTTGAAACACTAAATTGTCTGGTTTAGTCAGTTTCAGACTACCTACAGAAAATGTGAAAAACAAATGTTAAACCATAAAGATACATCTTCAGCATCAATAGATGTCGAAGCAGAGAACATTGCAATAAAAATCATGAATTAATAAAAAAACGGTATTAAAACCTTAGAAAAAAACAACCCCCATAATCATCCTGTCCTTACTACTGTCCTACAGGTACCTCAGATTCCCCCATTCTCCCTCCATCATTATGTTCTTAACTAATGTTCCAGTTAATCTAGAGGACCTTTATCATCTTCAAGCGTGAAGGAGATGCGAGAATTGTGCTGGAGCCCAGGAGATTTGCTGTCTGCTACCGTTTCATGTTTCTGCCCTCAACCGCAAACTGTTACGTAAACCAATAAATATTGAAATATTGTCGAAACTTTCAAGTGTCAGCCACTAATGAGCAGCGTAGGAGATTCAAAAGCCTACGATGTCTGCATGTATGAGAGAGAGAGATCTAAGCAAAAAAATGAGGAAATGAAAGTCTGCGTTAAGTCTTCAGAATCTAATGTGTGGCATAAAGCAGCTAAAACATTACTCCTATAATGATGTATACTCAGCTTTGGAGTGCACTAAACTCAAGAACGTCAGCGTAAAATCAACACTCGCATTCAGACATTTAAATTGTCGCTTGCGTCAAAATTACGCAACATGAATCATTTATTAATAGAATATGTTGAAGCTGAAACTCACGCAGACTTGTAGAGGAATAACTGGTGCTCCAATAGTGCAGTTTAACATGAGCAAGTGTTTTTACTTGAACATTATACTCAATGAGGCTGATATGGAGAAAAACAGCATCATTGTTTGATAAGAGACACGCAAGGAATTACATAATTACATTACATAATAGATCGATCTTGAGGAATTACATGTATAATCTATACAGGTATATACTTTATAATCCACTATTTTGTACAGATCATGCAGTAGAGTTGCATAATATTAGAAAAAAAACTCTAATTTACGATATATAATGCAATATAAATGCAATTTAACCAGATGAATTGAATAGCTTGTAAAGAATTTATAATATTAGATGAGTTTCTGTACAGGCCCCTCACTAACAAAGGTCCAGAATTTGTCTCATACATGAGCTCATTTGTTCTATTTTGACTGCTATGCCATCATAAATAGTGACAATAACCCATGGAAAAAGTCTTTAAGACTAATCTGAATTCTCTGTTGGCTGTCGCTTCGGTGCAACTTCAACTATTCAGTTTTGGCCAATGCTAACCAATATTTTTACTTTACAATCTAACGTACATGTAAGAGAAGTAATCTTTCACTGCTGCATTGTTTTTAAACAGAAAACATTTTACAAGTAACATTTATTCTTAATCTTGGACCTTATGCTTAAAACAAAAAGTGAGCAATAATATGGTGTAAAGTGGTCCTTCTGATTTGAGTAACAATTTGGTTATTTTTGTAATCCATGAATTTTCAAATGCATATTTTTTACAAGAGAGGCTGGAAAAACTGTAAAGCTCTACATTATTATTATTACTATTAAAACATAACATTTTTTACATTTTTTACAACATTTAATAATAATATGATAATACTATTATTATAATTTTGAAATGGTCAAACGGATTAAAGTCGAATGTGCTGCAGGCCAGTCTGCTATTTGCCTAATAAATGGACAATAGACTACAGTTTTTAATTTAAAACTGTAGCAGATTTCAATTTTTTTATATGATATAGGATGTAATAAATGTGTGTTTTATAATTAAGTATTACTTAAAAAAAATATTATAAATATTTAAGAAATATTTTTCTATCATATTTATATCAAAAAGTGTGGTTAAGATGACCATCCGACAAGCCAATTCAGCTAAAATAGTGCTTAAACTGTCACTAAAACAGGCAAAAAACTGCAAAAAGGTCCACTTTTTGAGAAAAAAGAACCACCCACTGGCCACAGGCCTGCTGTTGGGGAGAGTATATCTGCATGAAATATGGGCCAATTCTAAAAATGACAAGCAAAGTTTAAAACAACAGAGAAAAGATTCAAATGAACAATGATTTATGACTTTCTGGTGAGTCAACAATATTCAGAAACAGAAATGAAAAAAACACTCTATAATAATAATAATAATAATAATAATAAAAACAACAACAATGTATAGACTTCATTGAGTAAATAAC